AGTGGAGATAAAGATTGACAATCATCTCACCTAGCTAAAAGGGAAATGTCACAATAGTTGCAACACACTATAATGGGAAAATATTTTATGTCAAAAGTTGTACTATAACCCTTATTATAATCTCATAGCCCACTAAATTATCCTCTTAACAATCTCTCTCCTCCTTTTTAAGTGTTCTAAATCACATGTGACTCACTTTTCTTAAATACCGTGAAAAAGGGGAGAAAGTAGGTAATTACATACTTTGTTGCAAAATGATTTAATTAAATTCATATGATCATATGACGAGAGCTGATATACATACAACCATTGTAGGTTGTCCCTACATACAACACCATTAAAATTTTGACACATCATTAGAAAAAGGGAGAAAATTAGAAGTCAAATATATATTGAATATAATGGAACTTGGGTCCATTGTTCTAGCCAATCAAAACATGACAAATTAGAGTTGTATGTAGGGACCACATACAACAATTGTATGTGTAGCCTTTACCTCATATGACTTGGTTATCACTTACACAAGCTTAAGAGCCCCTTGGAGAAAGGGTTCATTTAAGAGCTACATAAGTTGTAATCCTATAATTTATCAATAAGATACTTGTACTTTAAAGTATTAGCGATTCTTAAACCAAAAAGTACACAGGGTCAAGATTTTAACCTTTAACCTTTACTCAAAAATATACTCGTATTGCAAAGTACTTAAACCATTGTGACACAAGTTCCAGCAGGCTTACAACAATTGTTCTTGTGGGTTGTTATTCATAACATTATGATTAGTTCCATTTGTTGACTATTGCCAATAGGTAAGATTTAATCAAGATTAGAATTATTTAATAGCGACTGGCGACATCGTGGGCCAGCTGACACACACCAAGTAACCCCTAATCGACTGGGGCATAACACTTGATTGACCGAATAACTCCTAACTGACCAAATTACCCTTGACCGAGTAACTCCGGACCGAGTGAGTAACCCTCGACCGAGTAACCACTGATCAACCAAGTAATCCCTAACCGACTTAGTAACTCCACACCGAGTGAGTAACCCCTATAACACTAACAAAGTAACCCCAACCCCATAATTATTGGCCACACGATGTGACCAACTACATATAAAAGTTTGTATTACTAGCAATGCGTGTATATAAAAATACTATGTGAGATCATTTTTAATTTCTATATGACTTTTTATGATAAATATTTTTAGATATTATGATTAATTGTAGGCATTGGTGCCATGGAAAAAAAAAACAAAAAAGGATATAACATAATTAAAACTTGTGGGAGTGTGTTTATTGAAATTGGAAATATAAATATATAATTCATCTATATTGACAAGATAATTTATCATATACGATATAATTAATTATAGCGTGTTTTGAGTGCGTTCATCACACCACATGATCGCTTGTAAATGAACAAAGTAACTCTTAGGCCCTGTTCACATTTATTTAATTTCAGTTCAGTTCAGTTCAGCTCTGCTCCAATCAGTTCAGTTCAGTTCAGCTCCAATCTGTTAAATTCAGCTCATAATTCCCTCTCTCATAAAAATATTCATTTCAGCTTAGTACAGTTAAGTTCAGTTCAGCTCCAATCAGTTCAGTTCAGCTCAGTTCAGTAAATGTGAACATGTCCTTATAACATTGATCAACTAACACATACGACTGAGTAACCCTTATAACGTTATTAAGTAACCCTTATAACTAACACCGACGAAGTAACCTCTGTAACAATGATCGAATAATCCCTATAACACTAATGAAGTAACCACATGATGGTAGGCCATACGGTGCCACATATAAAATTTTGTGAATTACTTATGTCCCCCACTCTTTTTATTAATCAATATATATATTATTTGTTTATAAATGTTCTTTTTTTTTTATTTGACAAAGGTTTTCCCTTTATTTTGTCATAATCGTAATACTTTGACTTTTTCACTATTTATATGTTTATTTTGACGATAATTTTTTACCATTATATGTATACTAAACATATATGGCCATGTAAAATATTTTTGGATTAGTGTATTTAAGTATATTTTCATTGTATTAAGGGCCTTTTCTCTTACGTTGAAATTCAGTTCAATTCAGTTCAGTTCAGCTCAGTTCAGTTTAGCTCAATTCAGTTCAGTTCAGTTCATTTCAGCTCAGTTCAGCTCAGCTCCTAATTTCCTTCTCTTATAAAATATTCAGTTCAGTTCAGTTCAGTTTAGTTCAGCTGAGTTCAGTCAATGAGAACAGGCCCTAACCTTTTATACAATCTAATGAAAATATACTACATCCGTTAAGTATTAGTTGCAAATTTGGGGTAATATTTGAGATATATAGTTGCAACTAATATTTAATAGAGGTAGTAATTACAAATTAAATATTAATGGTCAAAATTGTGCATTGATATGTGTGCCAGTCAAGCAAAGATCTGGCTTGGGATATATGTCCATTTTATATAGTGATTTATCTCGTCTCTTGGTCATATTTAGGAGTATTTTTGGCTCTACGGATCTATTTTTATTACCAATATGCATTTTCTAGTGTTTTCGTAGATTTTGGTATTGCTTTGTAGGAAATTGCAGATTTGGAGTATTTCCCTGGAGTTAGTTGAGCCACTATGAGCATTGAATTTGGATCGCATTGATATGACCATATTGCATAGCCCAAGATCGTGTCAGAGTAATTAAGAACTGTAATTAAGGGCTTGCGAAGAAGAAGAAGCTGAGGCATTGGACTTGCTTCATAGAAGAAAATATTTGGATTGGGCCGAGTAAAGGATCCCAAACGAGGAATCCAATGTTACCTGATGGACTTGCCCGATCGACAAGTGTTCTCGCCTTGAGGCGCGCCCGACCGCGCGAGGAAGAGAAAGAGCAGCAACATCTCTTCTGAAGGCGTGTCCTACCGGGCGAAAGAGATTGAAGGAGCACCATGAGGCTTATCGGCCTGGTCGACCAGTCATGCTTCCTACCGGGCGCGTGTTTTTGAGGGCGTTTAGAGATGACTAATCATAGTCTTAGTTTAGGTTTCTTAGCTTTAATATAAATACGCTTTTGTCAAGCGAAACTATTACATCTTCCATTAGTTAAAAATTCCAAATTTTAGTTTTAAGCTTACATTAGTATTTTGTTCTCTCAACACTCTTTGGTTTATGCAATTTATTAATTCCATTTATTTTGGTAACGATTTTCTTCTTTTTATTTCTCGTAATTTAAATACTTTGATTAGTTATGTCTTGTTTAATTGTTTTCTTAGGTTAGATTTCAATATGTGTGAGTAGTTTATTTCTACGGTTAGGGGGTGATTTATTATTGATGATTGTTAATGCTTTAGTTAATTTCCTATTGATTGATTTAATGCTATTCAATTAGATTAGGCATGGTTTCACTGTTTAAGTTATGCAATATTGATTTGAGATTCGGCAAATGAGAATTGATGTTTAGGCTTAGTTTCAATAGGCAGATTAATTTATAAATGGTTAAGTCAAGATTTGAGAGATGCGATTTAATACCGCTAGATTTACTCTGTGATTGTAATACGTAGCAAAGTCTTTTATGATCTTATTAATTGATGCATTGATTTTTATGCTTTACATACCCCTGAGTATTATTGGTGAACCTATACCCTAGGCTTTGATTTATTGTTATTCCTATTATTCTTATTCACGTTAGTTTATTTATTTCCCTTAGTTTAATTCTCATAAAATTATATTTGTTACTTGATAATTTAGACCATATCAATTCTTTAGGAGTAGAAATACATTGCTTTCACGTGGATTCGACCCTACTTCCCTATCTATTTTAGGTAGAGGACTTAAGAATTACTTTTGATTTGGTGATATGACTAGAACCGTCAAAATTTATAATAATACAGAGGGAGTAATATTAAAACAAATGAAACGCATTGCAACCTATTGCAAATCAAACTACTCACAAGTTGCAGGCTCCAAAGCACTTTTTCGTGTCAGATCGGATCAGGTTTGTCGCATAAGTTTTTGATATTTGACACCTCTAAGGACGTAAGATCGCAAATCCAGATGGGTGTGCAATGACTTTATAATATGGATTAATTTAATTACTCTATTAGCAAGGGTTTTGCTTAGGCAATTTAAGAGCATGTTATGTTCACATTTACTCAAGTGAGCTGAACTGAATTGAACTGAACAAAACTGAATAGAGTTGAAATGAATATTTTATGAGAGAAGGAAATTAGGAGCTGAACTAAAATAAACTGAACCGAACCGAATTGATTGGATCTGAACTTAACTGAACTGAATTGAAATTAAGTTGAAATGAACAGACCCTGAGTCTTTAATTAGGCTAACTAATCCTAAGGTCCAACTAAGTTGGTTTGTCCTAAAAGGCTTAGGCTGGGTTATTTGGGTTCCTAAAGGGATTTTCAATCAATTTTTGGGTTTTTTTTTTTTTTTTTTTTTTTTTTTTTTTATCTTTGGGTATGTAATAAGCTGATGATTAGAGATCTCATGATTGGTGATTTTATACTCTATCATGCTCCGTCACATAAGATCATTTGGACTTGAAATGTTGATGCAATGAACACAGGGCTCCTTATACCTAGGATCAGATTCTTGATTCCATATAAAAGGAACAACTCAGCCAAAAACATAATCTGATGGTTAAATCCCCAATCTCCATGATTGATTTTATTACTCTATCGATTCCTTTGGGTAAGATTGGCTTGAAGAAAATACATACGATCTATGAGCAAGAGTGATTATTACTCAATCATTTACTATACATACATCGTACCCAAGAGTATGAAGTGAATATTTTTGTTTAAGTTTAAAGAAGGGAATGAAAGAGTAATAATTATAGAAATGATATTCTGAAATGGACTGGCAGGGTGTACGTGTTCTGGGGCTAGATTTGAAATGTCTACCCCCATTTAATTTGCAACTAATCCTAATTACTCCCTTACATGCGGTGTCTTCCATTTTATACTCCAATATTGGTTACTAGTAAGTCTAGTGTGTATATATATATATGAAACTCAAAGCATATAATATATTCATCAACTCTACTTTCGCTTTGCCATAATTAGCAAGCTAGAAGCAAGTTAATTATGGCTTCCAAATTGATATGTTTTTTGGTAATCTTTTCTCTAACATCACTTTTTATGGGTGCTTCTAATGCTTGGCTTATGCAGCCAGACTTTTATGCCTCTAGTTGCCCTAATGTTGAACAAATTGTGTACAATACTATGAAGCAAGCCGTTAGTAAGGAACCACGTATGGGTGCATCTATTCTTCGCTTGTTCTTCCATGATTGCTTTGTCAACGTAAGTATTTTCGAATCTATAACCTTATTATTTATTTAAGTTTTTTTTTTTATTTATTTTTTTTATTTTTTTATTGCAATACCATGTTCTATGTACATTATTAAACAATATACTACGACGTATGAAAAATTATTATGCAAAGATGGGAGAATTTCGTTATTTCCTTGTAATGTCATTATTGATTGTAATATTGTTGCATTTTTCTAGAAAGAAAATGGTTGGGAGGATGATGATTAGTTTGGACAATTATGGGTCCCTAGACAATTATATAGAAGGTTTAGAGAAAATGATGGATGTTATCTACATAAAAAAAAACTGAGTGAGAAAATGAAGAATTAAAAAATATATATACTTCGTATATAATACTAACGTTACATGATCTATTGTCAAGGAAAAAAAAAATGCTTTACCTAGGGTTAGAGACCGGTTGCATAGTGAGGTTTGATCGCATTCATTAATATCATGAGAGACAACCCTAACCAATGGATAATATACAACTTTGATAGAAGCATATATATATATATATATATATATATATATATATATATATTAATAAATGATCTAATTTATTTTTAATATTGGCACAATGGTTAATTAAATATGATCCATACTTTTTAGGAAAAATCACATCTTTTTTGTCACACCCCTAAATAATAATAGATTAATAGAAGTACATACATAAAAGTCTTTGACCTAATTTTATCTCATAATGAATATAAAGGTTCATCCAAATAAATCATGTGATTAATTTAGTTATTAGAAATTATAAAAGAAATGTACGCTGAGTAGTAATTGTGAACAAAGAAAGTATATATGGCCGTTTTATATTTACGCTAAAGGATCAATTAAAATAGACTGGAATCAATATATACACTATATTGTTCATCTATTAGACTAACTCATTCATGTTTTTTTCATTCATTTCCGGTAACATTAGGGTTGTGATGCATCTGTACTCCTAGATGATACACCAACATTTACAGGGGAGAAAACTGCTAAAGCAAATGCAAACAACTCAATAAGGGGTTTTGAAGTGATTGATGCAATCAAGTGTAATCTTGAAGCTGCTTGCCCCCAAACTGTATCGTGTGCAGACATTCTAGCTCTTGCATCACGAGACGGAGTTAGATTGGTAAGCACATAAAACTCATAAAAATACTTTGGATTATAGATTTCATTGTGCACATAAATCTAAAGATTAATTAGTTTGTATTACTACTCCCTATCACTTGAGCTTCATTCATTGTTTAAGAACAAAAAGAAAAACATTACAAAATAAGCCATATTGCTTACTTCCTCCCTATTTTCCAAGCATAGGAAAATTGAAAAATACATGCAATGTTTTAGCTAGCATCTGTAACAAAAATGTGAATAAATCTATAATCTATAATAATATATACAGTCTGGTATATAATAATATATATACTTTCTCCGTTTCTTTATAGTTGCAACATACACTTTATTGATATGGTATTTAAGACAAATAGATCTCACATGATATAATACACTTAAAAAGGGGTTAAGAGGTTGTTAGAGGTATAATCAAGTGGCCATGAGCTTTAAATAAAGATAATAGTACAATTTTCACCATAAAAATCTTCCATTTATGTGTGTTGCAACTATTATAATATTTTCATTATAGGAAAGTGTTGCAATTATAAAGAAACAAAGGAAATAATCCGTATTAAAAAGCGTTTCAAATTGCATTAATCTTGTCACGTCGCTCATTCCATCATCTTTAATTCATCTAAGTGTTAACGTTTATGTCATCCCTTATAAACATGCATGGTTGGTATACAATATGAACCCATTGCAACCACAAGTTTGATAATAATCCCATTTGCTTATCTAAGTTGAAGTACATTGCATTGTATTATTTCAGAACCATATTAATGACAATTGAAAATGAAAAATGAAGTTGAATACAATAACTCAAGACGTACATTGTCTATTTATCCCACCAAAACTAGTTATTCAATTTAAACACCTCAATTTGTTCTTATCAAAATTTATTATTTTAAGATCCTACCACTTGATGTACCTAACTATATGTTCTCACATTTGTAGTTAGGAGGGCCCACATGGAAAGTACCACTAGGTAGAAGAGATGCAAGAACAGCAAGCCTAAGCTTGGCAAACCAAAACCTTCCACCCCCACGTTCAAGCCTTGCTAACCTCACTTCCCTCTTTGCAAGACAAAACTTAAACATCAACGAAATGACCGCCCTCTCCGGCGGCCACACCATCGGCCTCGCTCGTTGCATCAACTTCCGACCCCACATTTACAACGACACCGACATAGATCCCACCTTTGCAGCCACTCGCCAAGCCAACTGCCCTAAACAAGCTGGGAATGGAGACTTCAACTTAGCCCCTCTTGATCGTCAAACACCAAACAAATTCGACAACGATTATTTTCAAAACCTTGTTCAAAAACGCGGTCTATTACATTCGGATCAAGAGCTTTACAATGGTGGTTCTCAAGATTCCTTGGTGAAGAAGTATAGTACTAATCAAGCTGTTTTCTTTCAAGATTTTGTTGCAGCGATGATCAAGATGGGGAACATTAAGCTTCTTACTGGTACTAAAGGAGAGATTAGAAAGAACTGTCGCGTTATCAATTAGATTATTGTTAATATCATCAGTTTATTTCATACTTCTGGTTTTAATTACACTTGTACGTACTATATATAAATGGAAATTTTGTGAAAAACTACCTATTATAGTTCAGAATTTGCGAGAAACTACCTATTAAAAAAATGTTGTAATTGACTACCTAATTTTCGAAAAATGTTGTAATTTACTACCTTACGCCGGATTATGAATGAGTTTGACCAAAGTTCTCCGATGTTGACTTGGTCACTTGACCATCACGTGACACTTAATGACCCTTTTCTTTCACCAAGTGTCACGTGACCAAGTCAATGCCGGAGAATTTTGGTCAAACTCATTCATAATCCGGCATAAAGGTAGTAAATTACAACATTTTAAAAAAATTAGGTAGTCAATTACAACATTCTTTTTAATAGGTAGTTTCTCGTAAATTCTAGATTATAATAGGCAGTTTTTCACAAAATTTCCTATATAAATATATGATTTGTATTAATTGTTGTTAGTGTTGTTACGTGGAAGTTGGAATTATATCCGAGTGATTTATGGATGTGAAAATTGAAAAGGACAGTGTAATTATGTACTCCATTTCTTACTCCGTATTATAAAATAAACTTGCATGCGAATGGAGTCGTATAATATTGGGATTTTTTACATCATAAGATGATGATGTGTCAGATTATAAATGGTCAATTATTTTTATTTATTTAAAAGCCTAAATGTATTATACATGTAATTTTTTTTAACAATACGTAATTATAGTTTTTTAAATTTAATTTTTATCTTTTTAAGATCATTTTCGAAAAATTAGATTAAAATTAAAATTTAGAAAATAAAAAATTCATCATTTTTCAATAATGTTCTTCATTCATGTTCAACAATGTTCTTCATTCATGTCATAGATTAACAACCTATTCCCAAAATCATTGTTATTTGTGAAAGTATACTCAAATCCGGCCTAAAATCCTCATTAAAACTCATAAATGAATTGTTTTGTAGAGTTTCGCTTTTTTTAGTTTTGTTTTTTAGGTTCTGTTCATTAAAAAATCTCAACAACAATCTCATTTTTAAGTATTTGTTAAAGAAGAATTATATTGATAGGTGTTTTGCAATATCATAGTGGTCGGCGACATAGTGATTTAGGTTGAATGATTGGCGTTCTTCCAATTGTATAAATTGAGAAGACGACTATTTTTTTTTTTTTTCGAGTCCCATCAGTTTGATCGGCACAAATTAATTAATTTTTCGCAAACTTGTTCGTGGATTAGGTAGTGACCTAAACTACTTTTGGTCATTGCATATAAGAATTATATGCTCTGTTTATATTTAAGGCATTTACCTTATGTATACGTTGGGCGTGACCTCATAATTATATACTAAACCATAGCATTGATGGCTACAAATCTACAACAAGGGGGTGAAAGGTATAAACTAGGAAAGAATATCTACAGTCAACTAATTTACAATTATTCAAGTCATAGGCTATAAACTAGGAAGGAAAATAATACACCTAACTAATTCACATTTACAAAGATATATACAATATATGTTTAGCATACAATATATTTAACACTTTCAAACATATATCATAATGGTTTATTGACGAAAGGTATATCAATTATTATAATTACCAAAATTTATCCTATTATTAAATATTAGTTATAATCTTATAATTTATTTTATAATAACCAAAATTATCCCTGTTTTATATATTAGTTGTTTTCCATTCAAAAAAAAAATATGTTAGTTATTATCCTATAATTAGTTTAATATTGTAATTAACAGAATTTATCCTATTTTAAATTATGTTTCATATTTTTGAGAATGAATAAAAATTGAATGTTTAAATCATGATGAATTTTATATTGTGATATAATTGAGTCGATAAAAATGATGATGATGATGATGATGATGATGATGTTTAATTCTAGGACGGGTTGTGGCTTTTGCGGCTCATCGAAAGCGGCTACTGCTGCTACTACTGCTGCTGCTGCTGCTGCTACTGCTGCTACTACTGCTGCTGCTACTGCTGCTACTACTACTGCTGCTGCTACTGCTGCTACTACTACTGCTGCTGCTGCTGCGGCTGCGGCGGCTGCTGGCTGCTGCTGCTGCGGCGGCTGCTGGCTGCTGCTGCTGCTGCTGCTGCTACTACTGCTACTGCTGCTGTTGCTGCTGCTGCTGCTGCGGTTGCGGCTGCGGCTACTGCGGCTGCTGCTGCTACTACTACTACTACTACTACTACTACTACTACTACTACTGCTACTGCTACTGCTACTGCTACTGCTACTGCTACTGCTACTGCTACTGCTACTGCTACTGCTACTGCTACTGCTGCTGCTGCTGCTGCTGCTGCTGCTACTACTGCTGCTGCTGCTGCTACTGCTACTGCTACTTCTACTGCTACTACTACTGCTACTGCTACTGCTACTGCTACTGCTACTGCTACTCCTACTGCTACTGCTACTCCTACTGCTGCTGCTACTCCTACTGCTGCTGCTACTGCTGCTGCTACTGCTGCTGCTACTGCTGCTGCTGCTACTACTGCTGCTACTACTACTGCTACTACTACTGCTACTACATCCAAGAATCCGTTAGTGGGGCTCACTTTTGACACATGTCACTCATTTATTGGATTAAAAAAATTTATTATTTTTTTTAAGAAAAAGAAAAATCCTAAATTGCTAAACCAGCCACCACCGCCGATGGGTTCCCACCACCGTCACCCAAACCTAACCCCCGAAGCTCCGAGACCGTCGCTGAACCACCGTCGTCACCATACCCCGCCCCAAAACCTCCGATACTGTCACCACACCATCGAAACCCCAACCTAAACTAGCCGAAACCCCAACCCACATCGTCGCCGAACCACCGTCAGCCGAAACCTAACCCTACCCAGCCAAAACCTCCCAGCCACTTCGATTCCTCCTCGAAAAACCACCCCTGTACTTCCGCTTCACCTTCAAACCAGTCGAAAACCACTTTCGAAGCCCTAGCTAGGTCGATTTTGCGGTGAGGCGACGACATGGGTGGTTTTCGGTGGTTCGTGGTAAGGGTTTGCACGAACTGATTGGTGGGATTTGCGCGGGGGGAGGGGGGCCGTGGTGGGTGGGGATGATGGGCGGTGATTTTGCCGGTGAAGGAAGGGTTGTCGGCGTCAGTATGAGTCTCCGACTGTGGAGTCGCGGCCGCCGGTGGTGGGCTAGTGGCTGGGTTAGGGTTATAGAGTGTTTTTCTTTTTTTTTTTTTTTTTTTTACCTTTATTTTTTAAACCAATGTCTTATTGCCACGTGTCTATCTTGGGTCCCACTAACGAATTTCATCCAAAATTCAGTTAGAAGGTGGTGAAATCCAATTTTTGGATTTTTTTGTGGTGTTATTTTCAAAAAAATCCCAATAATAATAATAATAATAATAATAATGTCACTATTCTAACTAAATAGGAGAAACAAATTAATACTAGACAATAGACATGACCTAATATAATAAAATTTATGTAATTTCCTTACTTTATATAAGGTGGTTGAATATTTGTTTTAAAAATGAAAAGAAAATTATGTAGCTTACTTACATTATATAACACGCTTCCATATTTATATATTTGTACTCCAGGTAATTAATGACCTAAACATTTCTAAGTCATAACATTTTTATTTAATGTTATTTAATTAGTGTATCCTCTTTCTTAAAGTATCAATTGAAAGTCTAATAGATTTAAGTTTATCACTTTATAAATGAAAATGTTATCATCTTTAATTCATTGTTGTAACACTATCCTAAAATAGAAATATCACAATAGTAATAACACACTATAAAAAGGAATGTTTGGGGGATTTTTCTATGTGACTGGCTTCAACGTGTGGCTGGGGTTACTCGGTCAGGGGTGACTCGAGTTAGTCCTAACCGAGTAACCCCTCAAGTAACCTCTAATTGAATATTCCCACGAGTAACCCCTGATCGAGTAACCCCTCAGGTAACCCATGACCGAGTAACCCCTCGAGTAACCCCCTAAACGAGTAACCCCTGACCATCCCTTCAAGTAACCCTTGATTGAGTAACCCCTAATCGAACCCCTCAAGTAACTTCTGACTGAGTAACCCCTGATCGAACCCCTCAAGTAACTTCTGACCGAGTAACTCGAGTAACCCCTAACCGAGTCACTTGAGTAACACCGGCCACATGGTGTGGCCAACCATATATAAAAATTTGTGTTCAAATTAAAGAATGTACACTGTTTAGGGTAAAAATTACCCCAAATACGTGGTCCAATCCTATGGTGACACGTGGCCCAATAAAGAGGTGACACGTGTCACTATAGGAAGATTATGACACGTATGAAGAGCATGAGAGCACCTAAAAAATAAAGAGAGTAAAGGCCTCCTTACATCATAAGGCCCAACTACCCTTGAAAGCCGCAAAACGGGGCCCTAGAGGGACACGTGCCCTACACTAATTGCGCAGCGAATCAGAGCACATATCTCTAGGTCACTTATTCTAAGGGGCACAAATTCCTACCCCTATAAATACCCTAATCATTGATGATGGGAGGGGTGGATTGTGACATAACAATAAATAGAGCACTAAATTGCCCAACTTCTCTCTACTTTCTCACTCTAGTACTCTTTCCTTTTCAAAGTTTAAAGTTAAAATTTAAAAATTCCTCTGTCTCTCTCGGTTTCTCTAGTTACCTTCAAGATGTCTCATTATCTTCATCCTAATACCTTTGTATACCCTCACTATATGGGGAAAAACTTTCAACCTCTCCCAGTCCTAGAAGATGAAGCACCTATTAATTGGGAAAGTTGTGTTATTGGACGTGTGTGGGATGATAGGGACTTTTCTTTATCTCTTTATCAGCGGCTACTAGCCCAATTTTGGCATCTTTGTGCCCCAGTGACGGTTTTCAAATATGGTAAAGATCTAATATTTAGTTGTGAAACTTCTGAGGATGGCGATGAATTAGATGAGAGAGGGTGGGTCCATTTTAAAGGAATTTTGGTCGTGTTACAGCGCCTTCGGGAACATGCAGTACCAATGAATCTTAATCTTCATCTTGCTGAGTTGTGGGTGGGCGTGGTGGGTCTACCTTTACGATATTCTACTCCTTAAGTTGCGGCGGTTGTATTAGCTCATGTGGGTGATGTAACGAACTTTGATGAATCTAATGGTCAGTTTCCTATACTTTGCCCTAGAGTTAAAATATTAGTTTGTTTGTCGTTACCTTTGATTGCTGGTTGTTATTTTTCCACATTTGACAATCATGTCACGTGGGTGAAATTTAAATATGAAGGGATCTTTAGATTTTGTAGAAAGTGTGGTTTAGTCGGACATAGTTCTACCTTGTGTGAAAAAGATCATGCTAAAATTAGTGGTCCTTTGGAACGTCATTATCGTCATATCCATGAGAATGGTGGTTATGTGCTCTTCGGACCCACGGACCTAGAATTATATTCAGACTCTTTGCAAGGAATTTTTCCTTCCCCAAGCGCTTAGACTACGGAGCTTTGGTTTGGAGCTCATGATGATGATGATCCGTTAGAATACGATGCGGATTCGCACCCCTCG